AAGGGAAGAAGCTGTTTTTGTAGCATGTGTATATATCCCACACAGAGTCCGTGACCACATAAGCCCATGGATAGTCTGTGTCACACACACACACACACACACACACACACACACACACAGGCGTGTCCTGGACACAGCAGCCTGATCCACCGTGGCACGGGGTATCTAACCTGGGTAGATGAGGTCGGCCTTGCAGGTAAGCAGCCGCTGCAGTGACTTCATGTAGAGGTACAGGTCCTCAAACACAGCCGTACCCTCACCCAGAATGCAGTCTCCAGAAAAAATAGCCCCCTCTTCCTCCAGCATTAGGGCCATGTGGTCATCTGTGTGCCCGGGAGTGAACAGGATCCTGTGGGAGAAAGATCCGAGCGTCTGGTCTCCTCCAACCTCCAAGGACCCCCCAGGCAGGCATCTACCGGGCATTGAGTAGCGACTAACCTGAGGGTGGCTCCTTCCGTTTCTATAACATCTCCGTCCTTCAGATAGGTGTATCTCCTCTCATTCCCAAGTGCTTCCTCCATGAAGGGTGTGCGGGGGAGCTTGCTAATGCGCATGTCGGAATCTGCACGGGTTTTAAAAAAGAAATGTATACACTAGTGGCCAAAATTGTGTAAACACTTCCAATTTGCTCCAGTAGTTAATCGTCCAGCGTATGATATTCGTAACATTCTTTAATTGTTTATAAACGTTACCGGCAATATTCGAGTAGTGATTTTAAAGTGTGATGCCAAAAATGCTAGGGGCTTCGACAATTTTGGCCACAAGTGTACATGGAGTCTTGTTTAAAGTGTAGTGAACCCGTCCCGGGGCCAAGCTGGGGGGGCTTGCCGGCTCACCTCGGGCAAACTCCCTGCAGATGTCGGCGACCCCCCCCGTATGGTCGTGGTGCCAGTGAGTGACCACGATCTCCTGGATGGCCGCGTCAGCCTGGGTCAGCGCCTGCTGCAGGCAGCTCAGGTACTCCGGTACGGCAGCTTCGCCTGTGTCTATCAGGACGCGTCTGAGCAAGACGAAAACGCACAAGTACAATAAACGCAGGGGCTGCATACCTCTGTACGGAAGAGAACATGCACATTGTGTAAGCTGTGCGATCTGGCAGACATTAAGCCTAGATCTTGTAGGAGGTCCTGCGATCTAACATGTAAAGTCATGCCGTAGCAAAGTCGCACTTTGATCTCGTAAGAAAAACAAACAGACGTTAGCCTGGATTAGCCAAGTTAGCGAGTTTCAGGAATTAACTCAAAAACAATTATATGTGTCCCGGATGCACCCCCGGGTTTCCCACACTTCGGTATTAAAGATACATACAGCAGATAAGCATTTCCTTGCAAAAAAAAAGAGAATAAAACAAATGACTTCTTTACTACACAGCTATCCGAAATGCTAGCTGACTGTGTACCTCTTCCCCGTCCCCACCAAATACGTGTTGGTTCCCTGGAGTGTCATGGGCCCAGGGTTGCACCCCAAAACCCGCACCACCCGGGAAGACAGCTGCTCTATCCGAGGAATGAAGCTGCTCATTTTCAGCCGCTGTCCGACAGAAATGGTCAGTATTGGGTGATCACGGCATGAAAAATGGCAGGTTTGCGATGATGCACTAGCGCCGCCCAGTGGCCACCAATGTGATCCGCTTACCATTACACAAGGAAAGTACAGTTCAGTTACGTTTTCAGCGACACGTCTGTTTCAATTTCAGTTCATTAATAAAAATGCGTTAATGTAATAAACACGACTCGTTTTGGAGATTTCCGTTGCATTTATTTGTATCACAATTGAGACAGGTGCATGAAATTACAGAAACGATGAACGACTGTGACACCAAGACCAAACATATTACTTGCACTGACATGAAGTTTCACAAGATACGTTAAAATTAAAATTGCAACACCGTATTCGTAAATATAACATTGTCCAATTTAAATACGTATGGATGTGTTGTATCACTAAGATACTCTTGTGATCCCTGCCATGTGACGTCACATCCGATTCATTGCACGCTCTGCGTGTGCGACGTCATTTCTTTTCATCACAGCCTTCAGCACCGGCCCCCACCGTCTAGATTTAGAAACTTTATTCTTAGCGGGCCCATCACGGAACTGCTGCGGTCCATCTGATTCTTCAGCCTCCGAGACGATCTCCATTTTCTGGATGATCAGCTTTAGAAGGCTGTGCTGATTCTCCAACACCCGTGACATTTGCTTTAGCCTAGAAAACACGAACATTTCCCACAGTGAACACCAGGGGGTACTCAAAACTCACGTGGGCCGAAGGGCTTGGTTACGGCTACAAAAGAATCCCTCACCTGTTCTTCTGCTTATTTAACTCCTGTTCCACGGGGTTTAGCTGACAGCGGGATATGCTCACAGGACTGTGGGCCTCACTGTATTTCCCCCACAACCAGAAAGCTTTGTTCTGTTTAAAGAAATTGCATTATTTCTCTACATATGATGGTGTCATTTTGGCTTATTAGGTAAGAGTTCAGCTGAGATACATAAATGTGATATCCTAGTAAAGGTCTATAATGGCGTCAGTTCAGTTCAGGGGTTCAATGATGTTTGTTCTCTCAGTATTTCGGTTACATGCCTTTACTTTGCATGTTCTGTTTGGGTAGACTATGATCGAGTCCTTGTCGACACGCTTCATGAACCAGTTTGGCATTTTCTCCTCCAGATTGGTGTGAAGGTCAATCTGGAAACAGTACAGAATTTTACAGTACAGCCATGAAAACAGTTTCATTTGTGTATTGTCTAAATCAGGGGTGGGCAATCTTATCCGCAAAGGGCCGGTGTGTATGCAGGTTTTTGGGATAACCTGTAGGTCAGCTTTTCAAACCCAGATGTGGGGACTCTTCAGCCAATCAGTCCTCTAATTAGTGACCTAATTAGAGAGTTGCAGAGAAAACCCACATACACAGCGGCCCTTTGTGGATAAGATCGCCCCCCCCCTGGTCTAAATGCACAACTTCATATTGTATTTCTGCAGTAGCTTTCTGTAAGAATTATTTTGTACCCATATGGAAATAAAGTTAAACTTCAACGGATTATGCTTCACCTGCATAGCTATGCGCTTCAAAACAGCGTCCTTCTGTACCTCTGCAATGTCTCCAACGGCCAGACCAATCTGTTAGGCACAAAGAGACACTGAAGCAGTACGGCCTCTTTGTGAAGTACAGTTCTGTGAATGAGCCATGTGGTTTAACTCGAGCCTTAAACCGAAGACACAGCCTAAGTATTTACAACGCCAAATACGAACATGGCTATGTACACGGCTGCCGAGCATGCTGGGATATGCTGGTAGCCGAGCATGCTGGGATATGCTGGTAGCCGAGCATGCTAGGATATGCTGATAGGCTCCGCTATGCTGCAATATTATTAGACAATCAGAAACTCTTGGGAAGTGAAAAGCGTATGATGTGCACCTTTGGCTTCAACCAGACAGGAACTGTTTTGAAGTCTGGCGTCCTGATCAGGACTGACAATTTATCATGCGATTATACTGTTATTGTTTTGTATTATTTCAGTAAGATAATGTGATTGCACTTTGTATTCATCGACATTTAATCTGTTGCATGTTATAAACTGTAAAAAGGCTATTATTGTCTCTTTTCGTAAAATTTACCCTGCCTTTACAAAGTGATGGCTGTGGGGGGCAGTGACAATGACGTTCCAGACTGATGGACAGTATGCAAACTATTACAGGTGTGATGACACCTATCTCATCGATATTCATTGTGTAGGACACTGACTGAAAAAAAAATAGTGTCACTCCAAAGTTCTAACATTTTAGTAATTAAACCACATAACATTTCAGGATGTCGCATTCACCTATGTCCATACGCTTCAGAGCTCAAAAGTCTCTGCTAAAAAAATGTATAATGTGATTTTTTTACAATTTCCCAGCACCTCTGAAAGTAGGCTTTTGACAAGTGTATGTTTAAAGTTGATTTTAACAAAGAATAGAATAATAACATAGTCTCAGATTATTGGTGTTGAGTTTGTGCTGATTAAAAACATTTGTAGCGCTTGGGATAAATATTTTTTAGATAGGTGTTTAAAAATGTCCAGGCATGTCAGACTACCCTGAAAGTGCCTGAGAGACCTCAGACTCCAGAGGGTTAAGAATAGTACATACTAGTAGATTCATGAGCAGGATGGGCATCATGAGGAGAAACCAGACAAAAGAATAGTACATACTAGTAGATTCATGAGCAG